TGAAGTGCTTGAGGTCAGGGTTTTTTGCATAGATACCAGTATACTCTGCAAAAGCCTAACAAACGTATTCTGAAGATCTGCAAATTGCCACTGATTCAGGTCTGAAAGCCTGGCATGTGAAGTCAGAAGCACACAAACTGAAGTCTCATTAAACTACATGCTTGAACTGGGGTGACAGTAAGAGTGTAAAAAGAAATAAATCACTGAATGAACATGGTGCAAGAATTCACATCCAAGTTTCTAAGCATGCTTTTCACATTTGCTGCATACATAAGCATGAATAAGAAGTTTCTCTAAAGTTAACAAAAATGATTTTTTTTTTTATGTTCTTTCAATTTTCAGAGAGGACTGAGAGTGGAAAATTGGAAAGTCTCTTTTGAGGGAGGGTTGAGAATCACTGCTGTGAAACTTCACTTGATTGTTCCTGCTTCAAATGGACTGGAGCTGTCGGATTTTAAACACATGTATGCCTTTCCAGATGATCTTTCTCAAGGGTAAGAATGAACAAAGAGGTCTCCAAATCACCAGAAGTTATGCAAGAATATTAACATGACTACAATTCTTTCATATTTGAGAGAAATTATTCAATGCTAAATAGAAGTTCTAAGTGAAGGACTGACTTGAAGAAGCCAGTTGCATTTGCTCAATTTAATTTATTTGCAGAAACTGTCCTTGACTGCTGCCAGTATTATGACTTTACCTTGACATTTCTTGGTTTCTTTCTCTAAAAACAATTAACATTGCTGTATTTTCTGCTGTTTCTAGTCCTGCTTGAGGGCAAGAGCCTTGTGATTGATAGCAGATGAAGACCCAGCAGTTACAACGATAGCCAGTTCCACTGAACCAGGCTCTGATGTTGTAAAATTACTGCACACAACCTCCAGGAGCTCTGCAGACTTTGAGAGACTCAGAACAGGACTCCCTAAACAAACTGCAGGACATGGACCTTACAGAGAGGGACAGCTTCATAATAATTTTGGCATATTTATACTCAGGGTAACCTGAAGGTCTACAACAAGAATTATTCTCACATTCATACTGCAGACTGCAATAATTTTACAGCACTCTTATTATGGCTGTACTGGCTGCTGATTAAAGTTTATAACCCTTGTAAGTTCAAATATCAAATATATAGCTCATAGGTAGGCCAAATGGTCACACCATACCTAACAAAATAATATTAGACTGTGCATAAGTCCCATTGTTTATATGTGACTTTAGCACCAATGGACCATGGAGCTAACTTTTCAAGCAAGAACTAAGAATAAATTAGTGTTTACAATGGTTACCCAAATTTGTTTTAGGAGAACTGTAATGAGTCTATGATGAATTTACACTTGAATCTCACAGAATTAAGTACTGTGCAAAGAAGATGCTTTAAAAACCAGTAAGACTGCTTCATTGTTGAACACACACAGGAAGTTCTCAGGACAATACAAATCGTATGAGGGAAGGTGCAGGAGAGGAGGCTGAAATGACTTACGATGCTGAGAAATAAGTGAAGAAGGAAGACTGTAGAAGCAGAGAGATAAAAGGAGAAAAAACAACTAAATAAGAATGCAGAGGATTGTAAGTAACGGCATTGAAACAATTTCAGTTCCTAGGAAAGCACATTTTCTCAATGACAAGATACAGAACATGTCATAAACACAATATAGTCATATCACTGAAACTGTGTTCTGTGCTCAAAGGAGAAAGTGCTTCCCTGTGTCATACCATAACAAGCACCCTGATATTTTTGCTTTCATTGCAAGAGCAAGGAAAAGGACTTTTCACCCTTAGAAGTCTGGCAGAAGACTGCCATTGTACATAGACAGATAATTACACAGAATACTCTTCTGATCTCCAATTCAAATAAGCTATTCAAATGCTGAATTTTACATTTCTGACACTTGTATGCAATGCCTTCAGACCTGATTAAATGCCCCATTGCAAGCAGAAACGTCTCACCTGAAGCACCTTTCTCCCACTTGCTCACTTCTCCAGCCAAATCCCTTTTCTGCTGGTGCCAGCTCCACTGAAGTTGGTTCTTCAAAACTTGAACTGCTTTCTCAAAGCTAAATTTCGTAAGTTTCACTTTCTGTGGAGACAGAGTGTACAGGGCATGTCGACACCGGAGAGCACAGCACAGAAACCCTGGAACAAGAGCTGTTGCCGTAGCTCCCCACCCCCACAATACCAAGCTTTGGTTTCTTCTTCACAGGCCAAAACACATGCCAGTAAGTCCACACTCTGCTTTACTAAACCAGATGGATTTACTAGGAGGGTCAAGTCTGGCTCAAAAACCTTTTACATGTACCACTACGCACCACAGAAAATCGTTCTGCATTCAACAGAAATAAAACTTGACTGAAAAAGGTGGAAGCAACGTGGCAGAATGGCAGACAAAGGGGTAGCAGACAACCCACACCGACCATTTTCAAGATAGAAACTAAGATGTTTCAAATTAGCTTGAGGTCACTATTCTAAATGTAACGTGGTAAACGGTGGTAGACAGGTCTGAAGATAGATTACATCTACATGTAACGAGAGTCTTATTGGCCATCTACAGAAGCAAAAAGCAGCCTTTTAAGGGGGACAGTCTTCTTAAAACACTCTGAAGGCCATGTGAGTACTCCAAGGCTGGTACTCCACTGAACTTCACACCTCTTCAAGAGGTCAGAGGTACATATTTCTGGGCACATATTTCCTGATAAGGTAGAAAAGTAGATACAAATTACCATTAGGTTGTGAAAGGTGCTGAGGTTTATTATTCTGCAGGGGGAAAAGGTCTGTGTTGCTGCACAGACATCTAAATCAAGAGATGACGTAAACAGCTTATACCACTGAAAGTCCTGAAGAGAAGTCGGAGAGAATAAGGAGAATTACCTTAGGAAAAGAAAAGAACGATGGGAGAAGAAAGAAGGAAACAGCAGTAGGGAGTGCTGCTACAGCAGGATGAAGACTGAAACATAGCTTTTTCCAGGAAATTGGGGAGAAAAAGCCCCCCCAAACCAGTACATAATTACTAATGAAGAAATTTGAAGCGGTGTGTCTCTAAGACTTTTTCAGACACACTGGTAAGTGTCACGGCAGGAGGACAAGAACTTCTACCAAGGAATTTAGTGGGAGATTTTCAGAAGAAGCAAGGTCTGCTGGTGAGGCCTAGTGAGAGTACTACTGTCCACCACTTGCCTAGCAGAAACTATCAATCCAGACATCTACATCCTGAGAGAAACAGGCTTAGCACGCACCTCAACATGGCCTGGTGCTTCCCCACTGGTGCCAGGACAGCTGCTGCTCTCTCTCACACAGCCAGTGCAAGCACAGCTGGCAATCAGGGACAGAGCAGAGACCTCGCAAGACAGAAAAAGGAAGACAAAGTGCCACACCAGCAATACAGCAGAAGAGTTGCTTAAAAGGCAAGTTTTCCTACAGCCCTCATGGGCTACAACACTTCTCTCCAGCTTTTGCATAGCTTAGCGAATCTTCTGCAATAGTAGGTCTGTAGTTACAAAAATGTAGTTTGAATCCCATTTGCATGCTCCGCTACGCCATAACAGCACATTCAAATGACTCTTGCAATGTATTTTGAACCAGCTGAACTCAGAACATCCAACAGAGGATTTCCCCTTTCACCTGCCCATCCCCTTCCTGTGTGTTTACCAAAAACTTTCATTTCCTCAGTGGCACTAACACCAGCCCTGGCCATCACTTAACCCCGTTCTCCAGCCCTCATCCGCTTGCATCTGAAACACAGCTACCCTAGAGCATCCAGCACTTACTGACAGACTTTAGAAATCACATCAAGACACATGCCCTGGAGAAGCCATTTTCTGTCCACTGGAAGTAATGAATGTGAGCCTCATGATGCTGGCCAGGGCTACCTGAGCTGGCAATTTCAGTTAATGCAAAAGATGCACTGCTATCCAGATCTTTTCCCACTCAGCTGATACTAACAGGAGATATTTTCTTTGTTGGAACAGAGTAAAACTTAATCATAGGTCAGACCTACTGATTTACAAATATGTTATCATTATGTAGGAATGCACTCAAACATACTCTTTGCCCTTTAATATTAGTTTTGTTCTAAGTTTCTAGCACAGTCTTACATGGAAAACAAAAACCTGCTTAGCAGCCAAATATACTTCATTAATTTCTGTAATACCACATTGTTTCAGTTTATGTCCAAGAAAATGCCTGAATAAGGAAACAGTTTGTAGGCACCTATCTGTACAAAATAATGAAGGAAACATGAAAAGCAAACCAATTTATTATAGATGCCACATCAGAAAACCCACTTAACAGACTATGTCTCTGTTGATGAACTTCCTGAAACAGCTTTCTGTTAAACCAACAAAGGAGTAGTTAAGAACACATGCCAGAGGGAGCCCATGCCCTCCAAACTTTAATCATGTCCAGGCTTTCAGTAGCCCTTTAAAACAGAGGCAGAAAAGGCCATTCCAGAAGAGTAGCTGCATCCCATAGTTCAACTCCTGTGGTGAATTACCACATTTTCCAGTCTAAGGTAGCACAACTTGCTATCACGGACACTTTCAAGAAATAGCTTGGTGAGACAAATGTGTACAGCAAAAAAGCAGGCCTGGGCAAATTAAAGTAGCAAATTCTACAGCACATCAACCACAACTTAGACAGGAAGAAGTAGCCTCATGCTACACACGGCATCGACCATAGAGGAAGAAGGACGCATTGTTCAGACTGTTTATCATTTGAGTCCTTTGAACTGAAGAAGAAAGATAGTATGCTGTGCAAACACAGGAACCAATTGTAGATACTTCAGATGCCAGCAGTTTGAAAAAGACAAACCATGCTTACCCAAGGGATGGCAAACACTGGCCTGAATGGTACTTGTCTACCCTTTTCCCCCAAATAAATGAGAGCTACCCATTGATTGCCTCCCTTCACTTTTCCCTGGCCTCCTTCTCCTCCCAGCAGTGAGCTACAGTCAAAATACGTCTCTCTTCTGACATTCAGCTGACAAAAATATCTAATCTACTTACCTCTATGAAAAGTTCTTTAGGGCACGAAACAAAAACAAGTATTTCATAAATATTTGGAGGAAATGCTTCCAACACAAGATGAATTCTGCCTTTGCGTTTTGTTCCATGAACCCACATTTTCAGGAAAGATGCCGAACACAAGGGTGAATGATTCAGCCTCGGAAATTACAGCATTTAATGACAATGTCAACAGGAAACGTATTTGAATCAAGCAAAAATAAATACGAAAGCACAGACCTTTCCATCCTTCCCTGAAGGACAACTAAGTTTAAAGTAGAGACAGTCGCATTAAGGACAGTTACTTTGTATTTTAACAGTAGGAGCTGGTTTCTTTAAGAACGTACCATTACTGTGCACAGTATGGCAGCCTCCTTCTTGTATGCTTCACTAAAGACTGTTTTCATACAAACGTAGTATTTTATCTACATAGTTTCCTGTAGCATGGCTCAGCAAGTCTGTAAGCCTTTCACTCTATACCATTTCTAGCACTCTTACACCATCATGAAAGAGAGGACACAGATCAATGGGAGAAAAAGGAAGCAGGAATATGATCAGCAGGAGAAAAAACCTAACGCTCAGCTGGGCAACTGGTTCTTCTACACAATAGGATTGTTCTTAGAGACAGAAATCCTACAGGGGTAAAATAACAATAAATACTACTTAACAGAGTCACGTGGCATGTGCACTTATTTACACACCCAGCTCCATAGCTTCAGAAGGAAGTTATCACGTACTGCACAAAAAACTCACACAACCTTCATGATGCCTGGCCAGGAGTTCTCCTCCCATCCTTTGCATTAGCACTGAGAGCTTGCCATCCTTCAGGGATCACTGCAGAAATACACCTCTGTGCACAGCCATGCTACTGGAGCAGAGAGCTAGGAATCCCAGTTTACATCTAATGCCCACCCTATACCTTTATTCATTTATTTATTCATCACCTGCTTGTTTTCTGTGTTCATTCAGTTTTGGAAAGGGCTGCCTGAACCTGAAGAGTAAAACTGTCTCTACAATTCCCTGAACACACAATTAAGTCACTCAGAATATCCATGAATGGAAAGGAAGAAAGAAAGATCTTGCCCCCTCCCCACATCACCTAGACCTTTGAGAAAAAACGGTTCACAGTCAACACCTTTCCATCAAAAAACCTCAGAGACACCCATTAGGAGTCCAAATAACATGCAAAGTACAGAGAGGAAAACCATCTTTTTTTTTGTGACAGAAATGGAATCACATCCGAGATGAAATACTGCAGTTCTTAGACTGCCCTCAATAGCTGCAGAGAGGTCATGCAGCTCTGCATCTGATGTGCTGCTGACATGCAGCACAAGAAGGGTCAGATGTAGCTTCTCTGGTCTTGTGGGCCATGCCACTGAAGATCAGCTACTAAGCTAAGCCAAGAGGACCTTAGACCCTTTTCATTGCCCATTTTAGGAATTACTTCCTGCAACACCTGATGTTCTGTGATACCATTTATTTTCCAAGAGCCAACAAGGCCACAGGAAGGGAGCTCCCTTCAATTGCATAGATAAAATGGAGGGGGAAAGTATTATGAATGAGTTACTTATACATACATGCAAGAAAAAAATTCAAAGTTACAGAAACTCTGTAGAAAGGGTAACATTAAAAACCGGAACATTAAACATTTAAAGGGGATGGGGTTTAACTTTGTACGTGAAAGTTTCACAATTCATTGCACTGTCAGAAAAAAATGTTGCACAACCCTACTGGTCAAGGACCTTATAAAGAAAGACCTAAGCCTCACCTTGTCGTCTGTATATAGAGAGGAAAGAATGTTGTTTACTCGAAAAAATACAGGAGAGAAGTAGAATAACTTCAAGTCAGCCAGCTACTGTACAAACAAACATGATGGTTCTACACCATTCTGGGTTAAAAAAACATACATCTCAGCAGCACACAAAACAGATTTTTATGTTATTAAATCAGTAATTCTTTTCTAATGAGTTTGTAGCTCACAAAGCTGAAACAGAGAAAGAAAAAGCTATAAATCTCAGAAGAGAGCCACAGAATGAGGCATCTGCTGATCTGAGAGTTCATTAATTTTAATCCTTGCCCAAGATTTCATAAAGTCCTATTAACAGCATCTAACTGATTTCTAGCCTGTTGCTACTTTTTCAGAGAAAACTAATTGATTTTTTTTTCATCCATACTTTCCAAGCTGTTTATCTATGACAAAGATACAAAGTCCCAAAACATAAAATATAAGACTACAAGTAACACTTATTCTGCATTCAATACTGGATGGGATACAATTCATACAAAGAAAATTTAGGTATCCCTTCAGTAAGACTGAGCTATATTTTCCCAGCAAGGCTTTGCAATCTCCCACATTTTTTGTTTGTTTTTTGTTTGTTTATTTGTTTGTTTGGGTTTTGGGGGTTTGGTGTTTTTGTTTGTTGTTTGTTTGGTTTTGCTTTGTGGTTTGTTTTTTGTTTTTGTTGGTTTTGTTGTGGGTTTTTTTTTGCTAATAGCCCTTTGGTGAGACTACAGTGAGTTCAGACTTACCTACTTGGCACTCATACTTTACAGATAGTTGCAACTAACATTAAGACACCTACATGACAAAAGTCATCCAGGTAATTTATAGGATCAAGCTAAAAAATGTAACATCCAATTTGTACTACAATGTGCTAAAATATCTTCAGATTGGTCCAAGGTTTTTTGTTTGTTTGTTTGTTTTCTTTTTCCAAAGGTTGGAATGAAAGGCAAGAGATGGGATATTGATTTGGGGTTTCAGCTAAAACAACTGAGTAGGACCTAAACCTTTGTGCTCCCTATATCCACATATATATCCACATATATATCCACATACATATCCACATACATATCCACATACATATCCACATACATATCCACATACATATCCACAGCAGTATGATCTGGCTAAACAAGTTTTGAGCGTTAATCTCCTTGGTCTTTAGTGCCAACGGAGGTCATCAGGGAGATGAGTTCTTGCAAACCCATTTGCTGCTAACACGGAAAAGATGCAATTTCAACAGAAACTCTAACTGCTTTATTGGAGATACAGCATCAGCGATGGAGCTAGCCTGACTTTCAGACGCTAAATTAAAGCTGGAAGGACAAAACCCCTCAAGACAGCTCCTCAGACACACGGTACCACTACAGCAGTAGTCAGCAAGAAGCACCATGCACCAAACATCACAATACCATTTTCTCATCCTTTCTTTTAAGCTAAAGCAGATTTGAACATGCAGTTAAAAGGAAGCAGCTTCCACTTGGAAGGCACTCCAGGAATTACTCTCCCAGAAAAAAAAGCACTGTAAGAAGCAGTACCCAGAGGCCACATCGCCTCTCCTAAGGAAAGGCTGTCGCCTTGGCTTGAAACACCCACTGCAGACTTTTGATCAGCTAATTTTACACGCTTTCCAGCACGAAACAGCCAGAAGGCACCCGAGCCATCAAGACCACAGCAGAAGCCAAGCAAAGCGGCAAATCATTGCCTGTGAGAACGAGTCCGTGTTTCAAGCGCCCTATTTCCTTCAAGACCTCATCCCGTCCTACCGGGAAGGTCAGCCGGGCAGCAGCACATTCTCCGAAAGGCAAAACCGAGGGCTAAGCCGCCCTGGAAAGCACCTTGTTCCCGCCGTGCCGGCTGGGCCGGGCCGGGCCGGGTCCGGTC